AGCAAAAAAAAAAAAAAGAGAGAGCTCTCCTCTCTGGACGTGCCTCACTCGTGTGCGTGTTCACACCAAGCCCCTCATGCAATCTGAATCGTGGCACCTTGCACTTTTATGCCTTTTCACTGGATCCCTGCAATGTACCACGCTCCTGTTCTCCGGAGTCCTGCGGGCTCAGGGAGATAAAGAGAGTGTGTTTTTCCAGTGAAAAAACCCCCAAACAAATGCACTTCCCTGCCAATATTCAGTGCAGACTAATGTGCCATGTCGACATTGCAACCTTAAAGAAGCCTCTAGCGACACTGAAAAAGAAATCAATAGGTAGCCCCTGCAGTGGAAAACAGCCCCCCGACAGAGCAACTTCAAAACAGGTTTTCTGCTTACTGTACAAAGCCTCCCCTGTTGGCTGTCCCTACAAACCGCTGCCTCGAAAAATCAAACCCAAGCTGCTGAAGTAGCGATCCCGGCACGGTGTCTCGGCACACGGCGGGATCGCGTTCACAATGCAGGTGTCGGCCTCGGCAGTGGTGTTGGGATTCACGTGCGATGTCAAACAGCGAAGTGGCCGAGAGCGCTCGGTGTAGTCGGCACAGCTGGGGTTACAGGCAGAATTTGCATCTAAGCTCTCGCTCAAACTCTCCTCTTTCCACGACTGATCAGACTGTCCCAAACCGAAAAGGGGCCGCAGGACAATTTTGCCCGAGTAACGGCCTTCAAGAGTTAGATCTCCAAGCCCTCAACTTGTTCCACCCGTACCTGAAGCGATGTCCCTTTCCAAGACCTTTCACAAATCAAGCCCTGCTCCAGCCTGGGGTTGAAACCTGCCTGTGCTCAATCCCACTGGCCGTCCAGGTTGAGGAGTCCGAGGCGACCAGATGCAATACTAGTCCCGTCACTCCTGTGCACTGGTGGCGAAAGTTGCTGGAGGGCCTTGTCCAGGCTGGCCCAATGCTTGTGGAGGCCTCTGATTTTTGATTAGGCTCCCATGTTGCCCACAGGTGCTGCTTCCTCCTTTCCAGAGCAAGAGTGAGGCAGGAAGGAGCCACCCTTGCACACTTTCTTACCAGCCGATTGCACATTGAAACATGCAGACGAGACAAGAACGACAATGGCAAAAGTTGAGCAAGCTGTCAACCTCATTCTGCAGCCAGAAGCTTGTTGTGAACCCCTGTGCGGAGCTGTATAGCGCAGCGGGGATGATAGCTTGCCACAGACCACAAATGCAAACTCCGGGGTGCCTGAGGGACTCTGCATCCTGCCAAGTATCCCAGGGAATTCAGGGAGACACGTCATATATTCCTAAACCATCCCCGACAGATGCCTCTCCAACCTCCCCTCGGACACCTGCGGTGGAAGGGAAGCTCACAACTTCCTGAGACAGCTTAGCCCCTTGCCCCGCTATC